AATTCTTGTTTAGTTTTCCTTGTTTTTTCTGGTTTTCTATTCCATGTCTGGTTTTCTTTATGCTGGGTTTTCTGGGTTCATTCCTGTATTCCGTTCCTGGAATTCCCAGTCTCTTGGATTCCTTTAAATGTTTGTTTTATGTTGCCACACCCGTTCCTTTTCCATTAATCCTTTTGTTTCAGTTGGTTCCTGCAGGCGGTTGCTACAAGTCCTCTGCCTTTTCTTGCCAATAAGTGCTGTGTGTGTTTTATTATTGTTTATTTAGTCATGCATATCTAGGTAGATAGGACCCACCTTAATTGGAGGACTTTGACGCAGTTAGTGGGCTGCATAAATCTTGGCCATTTATGTATGTCTAAATCTCCAATGTTTATTACATAAATAGTACTTAGTTATGTCTCCTCTTGTTTTGCCTTGCATCTCTGGTCTTGTTTTATTTTGTCTTGTATTCCCAGTTCATGTACAGTCCTGTCCTGCCCTGTTCATGTTTCCCTCATGTCTTGTGTGCATGTTCTGGGTTCTGCTTTCTGTCCTGCTCCAGTTCTGGGTTCTTCTAGTCTTGTCTTGTTTTCTTGTTAGGTGCCTATTCTAGTCTTGCCTTGTTTCTGTACTGGATACATGTCTGCTGCAGAGCCTCCCTATCCAGTTCCTTGGAGATCTGCATATCATCAAGCTCCTAGCTCTTAGGATCCACAGAAGCTGCATCAGGGCCCAGGTATGTGGCCGCACAAACGCTGGTGCTCAACACCAGGGGGCGTGTGGTTACCCTGCACCAGGCCCTGATAGTCCATTACCACGCTGAGACTCCCAACAACATCAGACACTCAGGGGTCCTGGTCTCCTTACCGCCACCAGTGACAATAGGCTCAGGAAGAGCAAGGACCTGAGTATATGAGCTACTGAATGAAGGTGTTTATTTTGACAATTGACAGGACTAGTATAAAATGACGCTGGTATGGAGCATCCAGTGTTAGAAATGATAATGATTAACGTTATTGTTGACGTGAGGTGAACATACTGTGTCAATAATGATGTGAGGAGGATGCAAGGGTTCAGAATGAGCTTATTAGAAGTGACTCTTGCTATGCATGGTGCTGCAGCCACATAGGGTAACTTGACAGCTTGCAGGCTGAATATCTGCAGGTTTTGCAAGCTTTTTTTTCACTGTACCCTAAATGTCAACATGCAGAAATAAATGCAACATGTTTTCATCTTGGGTATATCTACTAAATACTAAATCAAAATGTGGTTCTTCTTTATCTTTAGGGTCTAAACCATTCACGAACAGTTAAACCCCAAAGTATGCTCTGCAGCGCAGTTTTTCTCTGTCCCGTTCACAGTTGCTTTCAGAAACTCTTGTAAAGAAGGTTTTGGGACTGCAGGGGTGCTGCTGATCGACTGAGAGCGGTCTGCTCCACATTTTTAAAACAGTTTCAGAAGGTTGGAAAACTCCTTGACTCGGCTTTGTATCTTTGTCTTGTGTATCTCTGGAATCCCTGATCTTGAGTTGTTCTTTGGCCTTTATAATTAAAAATTCCTATAATTTTGGTCCACCAGAACGCGTTTCGCCAAAACCGGCTTCATCAGCTATGCAAAGAATGCCAGAATTGCACTGAACTCTTGTAATTAAGGTTCTTTTTGTTAGTCTTTTGATTTTATTGTTTTTTTTTTTATTTTTGTTTAATAAAGTATATGCTTTTTAATTTACCTGGCGGCCAGTTCCTGTTATCCTTGTACAGCGCTACGGAATCTGATGGCACTATATAAATAATAAAATAATTATAATAAACAATAATCCTAGGATATAGGTGGTATGGTCCTTAGCCATACTATGTGCATTTATTGAGACATTTTAAAGCTCTATTCCTCTCACTAAAATTTTCAGTCTCTCCCTTTCCTCTGGCACATTTCCCTCACCCTTCAAACATGCAACTGTAACCCCGATTCTGAAAAAGCCCAGCCTTGACCCCAACTCCCCATCCAACTACCCCCTTATCTCGCTACTACCATTTGCCTCCAAGATTCTTGAGAGAGTTGTGTACATCAGACTGACTGACTTTCTTGAAACCAACTCTCTGCTTGACCCCCTTTCAGTCTGAATTCCGCGCTGGTCATTCTGTCGAAACAGCTCTGACCAAAGTATCCAACTATTTAATTGCTGCTAAATCTCGCGGCCATTACTTTATCCTGATTCTCTTTGATCTTTCTGCTGCCTTTGACACTGTTGATCATCAACAGCTTCTTCGCATTCTCCGTAATTTTGGTCTACGGGATACTGCTCTCTCCTGGTGCTCCTCCTACCTCTCCCAGCTCTCTTTCAGTGTTTCTTTCTCTGACTCTGCCTGTTCCCCCCAACCACTCTCTGTCGGCGTCCCCCAAGGTTCTGTCCTTGGCCCCCTACTGTTCTCTATCTACTGTCCATCGTTCATTTTGTGTGGAGATAGCTTTAGATTTACCTGCAGCTGGTTTATATAAGAATGTTGGTACTTTTTTTTTTTTTGTAAATCATTATTTATTGGAGTTTACACAGAAGTTGAATTATGTCATTGACATTGGTACGTAGTACACACAATGCAGTATAAACAAAAATTGTCACACAACACAGGAAATGTAACAAAAATACATTAGAAGGCAGCAAATTTAGAGATAGACTTATGGAGTAATTTATGTCACTTCTGTATGTCTGGTAGAAAAAACAAAAAATAAAATTTTTATATAGTAGGGTGCTTTACAGTTAAATAGACCAACAAGTATGCGTCCCACCCTATTGGAGTCTGTGTAACGGTACATATTTTCTGTACAGGGCTACTTTGTCTCAGTATTTTTCCTATACCTGACATTTCTAGATACTAGGCAGAGCTACTGCAGAAGAAGTGCCAATCCCCCCAGCTGTTATCAATGAGAACTGAAGAGAATTTGCGCCCTGTCTTTGGAGGATCCCACAATCTCGCGGGACCTTCCATAGACCTCATTGCTGTACTTTTGTTCATGGATGGCGGCGCCCATGAGTGACAGATTCAGGTAAGTTAAGCTCACCTTTGCCTCCACTTCTAGTGACCAAACCCCTGCCCACCCCTCCCCCACAGCAATATCATTGCAAAATATGTCCCCAGACAGTGACAATGTCACTTTAAATATAGGCTGCAGAATAAATAAGTGTCTGCTGGTTTAAAGGTGTAGCCACGATAAAACCAAAAGTGATCTAACCATTTGGTTAATTACCACAGATTTCCAGAGTTTCTGAACCTCTTTCTTGACCCATTTAACCATTCGAAGTAGGTGGCTGGCCTAATAGTATAGGTTGAAATCTGGGATGGCCAGACATCCCCTGGTCTTGGGGTGGGTCAGTTCCTGGAATTTTAGCCTGGATTTGCTTGCCTTCCAGATGTATTTGATCAGTGTTGTGTGCAGTGAGGTAAAGAAGGCACTAGGTATCTTTATTGGGAGTATAGTAAGAGAAAGATCTCTCCCTACTGCTGTGGATCACCTTAATTTTGGACTACTGCAGCATTACTTGGACTTTCATATATTAAGATAAGTATTATTTCACATTATTTGTTCTTTAGGCGCACCCTTCTCTTCTCTTTCTCTTACTATACTTACACTGAGGGGACTAGAGGGGACCCCTCCCCCTATAGGTGTGCTGCCTATACCCTACACAGCTATATTTCCTGTGACATATCAGCGCTGACCTTCCCTTGTGATCTTTATTGGGAGTGCTTGGAAAAGATAGAACATTCATGTTGGTAACCTCTAGTAGCCTAGGCCAGCTGTAGATTGACACTTTAAAGAACATTGGGGTATGTGCAGTAGGAGTTATAAAAACTATTAGTGGCAGGCCTCGCAGTGCTCTGTGTCAGAAATGCCCCCCTTCCCATGTCACGTCTGGTCTTCTCTGGCTTTATATATATATATATATATATATAAATTATATAATATATACTAATTATATATTTGAGTAAATTCCTTGCTTAATCAGCCGTTATGCAGTCACTGGTTCTATTGAGGGAGAGAAAAAGGTAGCATTATACACTCATATTTGGAAGGGGGCAGGGGCTGCTGCTGCTGTGCTCTCCCTGTGCTACTTCCAAAATGGCTTCTTGCTTCTCTCTTCTGTGGGCATTGTAACACCATCCCCTGGTGTTGTGAACCAATGATGGCCCCTGAAAAAAGAGGCCAAGAGCATGCCTCCCCTTCCAGAAATTCCTTCTTAAAGGACACTAGGCACGTGCCTATATGCTCTTAAGCAAGCTTTTCCAAACAGTTACCAACGAGGGGCTTTGCAGAATTGAAACCTATTACAGGATTAAAGAGACACATTTTTGTTTCCTATATTTTCTTGGCTTATTACCCTTCCCCCCAGAAAAAGAATCTTAGTGTCTCTAAACTGCTGCAATAATTCTTCCCCACTTAAAATCTGATGGGGTCTTCCCCTAGTGCCCTTATGGTCAAGCATACTTTGGATATCAGTTAAACTAAATATTTTGCTTAACTGAAATCCATGGACGCTTGTCCATAGGGGCACTTGAGGCAGCGCCCCACCTAATTTTCTATGGGGAAAAATGATTTGCAATTGGTTAGAAACACTAAGGAGCTATGAAATTCTCACAGTACTCTAAGAATCAGTATCTCTGTCCTTGTGTTCACTATATACTTTGGTGTTTATTATGTAATCTGTTCCTATGATGAAATAAAGTTGATTTTAATCTCAAAGTAAAGATACTGATTAGAATGTCATTCATCTACCTTTAAGGTGGGATATACTTTTTTTTTGTTTTCATACACTTAATGAAAACCTGTCCCAGAGCACTCAGGACCTCAGAATGTGCCAAAGTCTCACCATTTATCAGGACACTGACCGTAAGCACACAGCAAAGACAATGCAAGAATGGCTTAGGGGGGGGGCGTGGTTTCGTCGCTGACCAAGATGGCCGCGTAGAGGAAGAGCTCCGCTCTGCCAGACCCTGAAATAGCCCCTAATAAGCGTTATATTTAACCAAATGGGTCGCAATAAACGACCGGAGCAGCCCCAGACCCAAAGGAGCCTCCAACAGGGCCCCCTTGACAAGTTCCTACATCCACAACCGGGCACCAGCGGAGAGCTGGGAGGCCCCAATATTGCGCCGACATCCCCGCCGGGGTCGGACGGCACTACCCTTGAAAGAATTGAGGACAGACTGCGGAGCTTGATGGCCTCTATGGCCACAAAAGACAACCTCAGGTCACTTACCACCACCATTCAAGACACTCTCAGAGCAGAGATGGCGGGCATCCGGTCTGAGGTGGCCTCGCATGCGGGCCGCATCTCACTGCAAGAAGAGGCAACTGAGGCCCTCACAGCGCGCGTGACAACCGCAGACACTGCAATAACCCGTCAGGGCGCGATGCTTCTCTCGATGAGGACCTAGATAACAGAGGCCGGAGGTGCAATATCCGCATTCGGGGAGTGCCGGAGGCTGAGGGAGCAACAGAAAATGTCGTGGAGATACTCACCGAACTTTTCCAATCCATCTTACAGCCAACATCACCACAGCACATAGAGTTCGAGAGGGCACACAGAACAACGCGACCCTGGATGATGGTCCAAGAGATCTTATATGCTGCCTACATTCCTTCCCAATTAAAGATACCATCATGAGGAAGGCCCGGGAAAGACCAACATGGCCCTACAGGGGCACCCAAGTGACGTTATATAACGACCTGTCCCCAATCACACTGGAGGCCCGGCGAGCCCTCCGCCCCGTGACGACCGCATTCAGAGAACGAGACATAACATACAAATGGGGGTTCCCATTTGCCCTGATTGCCAGACACCGCAATGGCTGGATCTCAATATGCTGGCCCAGGCCCGGACTGGCCATCGGGCATACCGGGCAAATGCCCGGTGGGCCGCGATGGCCGTGGGGCCGAGGCCGGCAGGGGATCTCCCCGGCCGGCCCCTGCAGGGCCAGCGCTATCCGAGCGCCGGCCGTGCATAGTGCCTCCATGGGCCGGTGGGGAGATCAAAGATCTCCCTCACCGGCCCACAGACATGGAGATGCGGCCGCGCCGGCTGGTGAGGGAGGGAGGACCCGGCGGAGCTCCAACAAGCAGCTCCGCCGGTCCTCTCGCGGGATTCTGAGCGTTGCCGCGGCAACGCTCAGATCTCGCGAGAGTGAACTCTAACCCGCAGGTTAAAGTTCACTCTCACCACTGGACCACCAGGGAAGGCAGCATGGCTCCCAACCCCCCAGGGAGAACTGATCTTCTCCCTCCCCCCCCTCCCAGGATAAAGGTAAGAAGGGAGGGGGGGGATATAATTTTTTTTTTTTTTTTATTAGTAAAAAAAATATTTAAATTTAAATAAAAAAATACATTCACACACACAGCACCCCCATACACAGCACCCCCATACACACCCCCCAGACACACACAGCACCCAGACACACACAGCACCCAGACACAGCACCCCCCAGACACACACAGCACCCAGACACAGCACCCCCCAGACACACACTGCACCCACACACAGCACCCAGACACAGCGCCCCCCAGACAGACACAGCACCCCCCAGACACACACTGCACCCAGACACACAGCACCCAGACACAGCACCC